GGATTTATTTTGAAAAAGGTAATGTTATTGTAAGGATATTTTTGCTATTCAAAAAGGCGCTCGGTGGACATTTGAAGGAAGACAGGCTAAATTTTGAAACAAATTTCGAAAATCTAGTAACTACTTAACCTGATGAGAGCTTATATGGTAACTTCAGCTGTTGATTATGATTGCAAGATTTGCACGGGGGCGAGGTTACATTACTACCTCAAAACGAGTTGAATTTGCTTCCATTACAAAAAACATCCAGAAAGTTTTAAGGTGCACATCGGAGTATAAATTAGTAGGATATTGATAGGTTCACTGCTGCTTCCAGGGGCTATAGCGATTAAGAAAAACAAACGACTTACTTCCACAAGAGAAGTGGATACACCGGCTACTTTTCCTCCACACATATAGAGCCTTTCTTCGATGACGCCAATTGCCATGCTTTCTCGAACATAACTCATTTCCGCTACATTGGTCCACTGGTCTGAGCAATAGCTGTATTTCTGAGCAGTTTGGAGTACGCATAAGCCAGACTTCCCACCAAAGGTATATATCTAAAGATTTTATGCAAAAAAATGCAATACAATTAGTAAGATGACACGATTGAGAAGTTAGCTCCACTTAGCTTCACGCTTGTAAAGCAATAACATTCAGAATATCAAGGCAAAGCAAAATATGACTTCACCCTTAAAACTCATCACAGGAGAGATTGTGCGCATTGAATTTGCATTGAAACTGATTATCAACTGTAAGCTATGGCTGTGCAAGTCACATACCATCTCGCCGTGTACGGCTACTCCAAAGCCCTTACGTTCAAGCCCTTGTGATTCAAGTGTAGTCCACCGTCTTGTAACTGGGTTGTACTCTTCTATGTCGCAAACTTCTATACCTCCGCTTCTCGCACCCCCTGAATCATACTCAAAAATTAAAACGGAAGGACAATGTTATATGCTTTGTGCTTATATGCTTTATGTTTAAATTGAAGGAATTTTTGTTTTTACTATAACAAGTCATCTTCCTAAAGAATGCTCCAAGAAAAGTAAAAGGTATAGCGCTTTAGACTGAGCTCAAACTGGGCAAAGGTTCACGCTAGCAGTCCATTCTGCAAAATGTTTCAAGGAGGAACAAGCAAATATAAAGTATCGCTATGTATAAATGCTCACATGCATAAATACAGAATTTCTGTGCTGATATGTATGCAACCTCATAAAGAAAGCATTTAGACAATTCAAAGTATGCTTGAATAAATTGGACAAATAACAAGAGTTTG